AAGCTGTATTGCATTTTTATTTTTAGAAATCTAGGAAATTTATTAATATTAACATATTAATTAAACAGTAATATACGTAGTTATTATATATTTCGGGAAAAAATATCGATTAACAATAAATAAAAAATTATTTTTAGAAAAAACTATTTTTTAATAATATTACATTTTGCATAATAAATTAATGTAGGTAATAATAATTTAATAATGACAATATAAGTATAATAATAAATGATGTAAAAATCACAAGATTTTTATAATAAAATGAATATATTTGCTTTTAACACAATTATTAGGAATATATAAATATAAATGTAGCTATCGGCCGGTTATATGTGGCTCTAAATTGTATAAAGAGTTGACGGTTTTTGAATCTATAGTCTTAATAATATATAGTACATTACCTAATACCTACAAGATTGTACTCGTAGTTATGCGATATTTTTGGCGATAATGATTAACGATTACTGATTACTTTAATAAATGATTAAACGATTAATAACTAATGTAATCTAATAAATTAATCTTAATCGATTATGTAATTTAATCGTATATTAATCAATTATGCCTAACACTGACTTTGGAAGGGAAGCGGCTGGATGTAAACGATGACCCATATCCGATGCGGATACTGTTTGAGATTATATGTCTTATAATTTTTGATAATTTATAAAAATAACATAATAGTTGCTGTAAATCATACTTATATATTATATATAAAAATTGAAAACCGTAATCGATTTTTCAAAATTTACAATTTCATAATTAATTCATAAGTTTGACATACATATATTTTGAACTAAAACTAATATTAACATAATTAAATTGAAATTTGAACGTTTTTATATTATAATTATTATTAATTACCATTTTATTCAATATACTAAAAAATAAAAATAATAGTAAAATTCTAACCTTATTATTTGATAAATGTGAATTGTTCATATTTTGCATAAACTCCCAAATAAAATTTCTAATATAACATTATGATATAATACGTTGTATTATGTGTTATGTGATATGTTATGTGTATTAATATGCTATGGACGGGTAACAATTTCGCAACATAAGCCAATTCTGAGCCATAACGTAATAAAATATACAATTGAAGAGAGTATAAAGTTGCGAGAGAATCAGGCAATCAGTGCATATATGAACTGGGGTAAAAGACGATTGTATCGGACCCCAGGTCTCAAAGAAAATGGATATTGTCCATTTTAAATCATACGGCTAAACTTATCGTATAGATGAAGTTAAGAAAACTATTTATTACAATGTGCATTTTTTTATATGTATAGATTACGTATATTTTATTATATTTTTAACTATAAAATTATATATTATTAGATACCAGTCAATAATTTTAGAACAAATGATTATGAATGGATTCAAATGAATAAAGTCAAACCTATCAAAGTTTTTAGGAGCTTTTCAAAAATGTTACTTGGTTTTCTCGAGCTTTTATTTATACATTTGAAACGGTAAAAATTTAAAATTCATATTAGTATCTTTTAGTTAAGTTATTATTAATATTATCCAGTGATCACGAGAAAAATTTCAAAAATATATATTTTAGATTAATTATAACATTTATATGTTTAATGATATAATTTGTGTGATAACTATAAATCTTTTCTTCGACGAATTTAGATTATATTGAATGATAGTAATTCACTTTTTTATTTCAACTCAACTCTTTTCTTTTATGTCAGATTTTCTCACGAATCTATGAATGAGCTTAAGGGATATTATACAGAAATGTATATTTGTTTTCAATATTAAATGACTATATTTTCGCGAGACACGATCTATCGTAAATAGAATTATATACGAAATATATGTATATTTATAGCAAATATATTTGTAATAAAAATGATTATAAATCCAAGAGTCGTACAGTCTTTAAAATTATTTTATATTTATTTTATTCCAAGATTTTTAAATAATTTTTTTATGTATTATTTAATATGATTTGTATATAATTGTGCTTATGTTACTGAATTGATCTGAAATATTAAGCAGTTGGGAATTTTCTTGTCGTTTACTAATGAATCACATTTTTTTAAGAAGTTTGCATAAAAATAAAATGTTATTTTCACATTTTATGAGTTAAATAATTAGAAAAGTACAAGTATACTATGATGAACTATAAATTACATTTATGTAATAAAAGTAATAAACTATTAAACCAATCTTATATATAATATAAATTACTTTTTATAGATATAGGATTTTTATAAATTATGTATTAAGATATTACAATCCAAATATATAGTTTTAAAATCAATTTAAATTTCCATATTTTCTTCTTCTTCATCTCACCATTACTCCCAACTGTTTGGAGTCGGCCACCCTTGTTCTAAATTTCCACTTGTTTCGATTTTTTACATCCACTATGCGCACATCAACAGCCCTCTTTAAGTCGCTTCTTACGACCAGCTGAGGAACCGTGGAAGTATTCTGATCCCCTACCGCAGGGGGATAAAAATTAAATTAAATACATTTTATTAAAAATTATAATTTAATACAATTAATATAATCATAATAAGTTCACTTTTAAATATACTATTCCTATTTAATTTACACAATTATGGTAATATTTATTAGCTCATAATTGTTAGAGAGAGTTTAATACCTATATCGATATTTACAAAAGAAGTATATCATATAACAATATATATATTTTATGCTACGGTCAGCTAAAACTTTTAAGTGTTGACAAAAAACTTTTGCTTGTATACGTAAGTACTTGTTTACTCGAATATATATTCTTTTATGTCATTTGTTTTTGAGTGAATCACTGATTGCTAACTCATCTTAAAATATTTCAAGACATATTTTTTAAGTGAGTTTAAATAACTGTAGAAATACAATTTAAAACAGATATACTCTGTGTTTTCACATTTTACTTCTAGGTAAAAAACATATTTGTTTAATGGTAGTTTTTTTTCCCCAAAGAAACTTAAGAAAATCTCAATTTTTTAGGTAGGATTATACCTACTTACTCTTTAAATATACTTCATTGTTACACTATATACATAACTTAAGATTGTAATATATTTTCATGTTATTACTGATGTGATTTTTAAAAATATAAGACATATTTTCAATTAATATATGTTTAATTAATTTTCAATTAATATGAGTTAATTCGATTATCGATATCTATAATTATATCATTAAATAATTGAATTACAGTTATAAGTACTAATGTTATACGTACAGTCTAACAAATGTTAATTTTTAAATCTAGTGGAAAAAATAAAAAAAAACATTGTTGTACAGTGTAAAAATATTACTTATTTTATTTATTTTAAATTGTCAAAAAAAAAAAAAATAAAATAAATAAAAATAAATTGTTAGTGGAAAATATTACTAATAATCTAATTAATTAAATAGAAACGATTTTTAATCAGTCCAGTATGTGATATTTACAAGAAAGTGCACCGTCATAGCAATATTGAATATTATCAGTTTAAATAAACCTATTTGTTATTCATTATCTTATTAAATTATTTTGTGTATTTATTATTTTGTGATTTGTCGAACGATTTAAATTTTTATTTTTTATTTACATTATATTATTATGTTCTTAACATAATCTGTTTATCTATTTTGACAATGCAACGGCGCACCAATTTTTTTTTTCCAAAGAATCGATTTCACTATTTAAGGAAAATCTTTCACAGTATTACGCCTGCGTTAGTAGATATTTCTTTTCGGTAGACCGAGTACGAACCTAAAGTAACACTGATATTATACAAATTCGACCTCTCTGTATTTACTTAGCTATAGGTAGAAACTGATTCGCAATACGTTTGGTGAGCGCTAGATAAAGGGAACGGAAAACAACGGAAAACATATAAATTGTAAGAAAATGTTATAAATTACAACAATACGCATCACGCCCACAAGAATACGTCATCATATCATGATGGGCGCAACTTTTCACTTCAGAACATTGGCCAAAGGATTCACGCACTGATCCTTTCGATTAAATTAAACGTTTTATTTACACACGATATCGTTGTAGTAACTACGCATCATACGCTAGCTTTCGGAATTGTAATAACGTGGCTGATATTGAGGTGCACATATAATACGTAGATACAACCCTGGAGTTGTGTTGTATCGTCGGTATTTTTATAGTGTATTATTATTACTATAAATGTCGACATTGGTGTGATCGATGATGATGATGACGCGATCATGTGCGAAGCAAATATTATAAAATGATAAATTTGTTTATTTACTTATCTATTTTTTCATTTTATTTTCACAATTGGACAGTTCTAAAATTGTGACGTTAAATCTTATGCAGTTCATTTAAATATTTAGTGTTATGTTCATATCTTATCTATATCTTATTTATTATTTGTGTTTTAAAAGATTGACATTAACGTGAAAAAATTAAATGAATTTATTTGTGCATTACCTAATTAATATTAACATACGGTTTATTGGACTATTAAGAATAAAATTATGTTTATAATATGTATGTTTATATATTGATATAAAAAGTGTTGATAGAACGAACGTTCTTTTGGGAAACTCATAAATTAATTTTGTGCAATTTAGCTTCATGTACACTATCTTACAGTTTAGAAATGTGTATAATATATTATTATAATTATTTTCAATGACAGGAATATTATAATGCAACTTTTCTCGATATTAGATATTGAATTGCTCGTTAAATTTAACGCGATCACACATAAAAATCGCCTTTGGATTTAATACATTTTATTAGTTGTTCCTAATTTTGCAGGGCAATATAACTGATATAAGTTCTATGACAGAAGCGAAAACTTGGGAAAAATATATAGTTTAAGTTATAATACATTGTATTCTTGGTAAGACATTTTTAAATGGCTGTATGTGTATGTGTGTGTCTTTACGACGAGCTCTTGCGATCATGTGCCGTAGTCGACCCATTTGCGCGTGTACAGGAGGGGTTGCTGCTGCTGGAGGTTGTTACCACGTATAAAAGGGTGGTTGAAACTCGGACACTGTCATTTGTACCAAAACCACGTATCGGGACACGCTGACAGGAATCGCCACTCATTTTACCAACCACCATGAACCATCTGTTGCTGATCGTGATTGTCCCCGTTGTAGCCACTGTAATCGCCGCTCACGTTCAAGTACGTGACGATAATAATACTATATTATTATTATTATTATTAATGTTATTATTTTTAGCTTTTTGCGTGGTTTTTTCATCGTATGTAATTGTAACCGCCCTGTAATTTTGCTTTTTTTTTTAAATTAACAAAAACCCAGACCGAAAAGTACTCGAAACTAAATACGTACATATGTCATATTTATAACGTCATATTTTAAACATAATTTTATCGTATTACATAAACAAACAGTTCAACTGGATAGTTTTCAAAATACATGAGCTACAGTTCGTTCGTTTAATAAAAAGTATTTAATTTAAGTAAAAAAACAAAATATATATAATTGGTACGCAAAAGCTAATTTGTCTATAGTAAATCGTAATTTTGAAATTAATAAGACACAAATATTAAATGAAATTAACACTTTAAAAGCAATGTTGCTTTATTTATTGCAATCTTGTTTTATTCAAAAGTGTAAAATTAAAAAATAACCGTTAAAAAATATTTTTCAGCCCTTATATCTCTATAGTTTTATTAATTAAATAGCAGTTTAACTTTATAATTCGCGTTTATATTTCATCAATTTTATATTATTATTATTATTTTTTGATAAGCTACATAAAATAAATAGTAGATTCTTTGTTTTTTCGTTTTCCAAAAAAAATACTAACTTCAAAAAGTTGTAACCTTTTCGTTTAATTTGATCTACAAGTTTTCATAAATAAAGTGTTCCGGGAAAATTAGTAACTTTAAGTGATGAGGGTGTGTATCATACTGATAAATAAGTTCATTGCATTCGTCTACGAACTAAAACCAAAACCAACTTTGAAGCATGAAATATTTGTGTAACTATTTCAATAACTAATTATTATGTTTAAATATAAATGAAATCATTAAATTTGAACATTGAATCGATATCAAAAATAATTTGTTATACACTATAGGAAGATCTCTTGGAATTCTGAGTTAAAGTTGACTAACAATTTAATAGTTCATAATTAAGTAAAAGTTGTTTTATTTTTATAGGCTAACATTTTAGCCTATAAAATAGGCTAAAATTTTTTAATTTTTAATTGATAACTGACAATATAGGATATACATTTCATTGTATTTTAATCATGAATTTTTTATTTTATAATAATAAATGGAATAGTATGATTATTATATTTTCTAAAAGATGATTTGATTAAGTATATTAGATATATAGGTTTATTTGATAAATAATAAAATAATGTATATTCACTAGAGTTGTTATTGTACATAGGTATCATGGCAAGATATTTGATAATTTAATTTAATATATCTAAAAACTTTTTCCTTGAAGTATTTTTATTTTTGCATTATTTTAAAGAAGAATGAAAATACAGAGATGTAATGATGTTGATGATGAATATGAGTTAAAATATATAAAAAAATAACATACCTAAATACAAAATTAAACATTAATAAATATAAATTAATTTTTATAATTAATAACTAAAATAAAAAAATATACAATAATTAATTTAGTTGATGTATTTTAAATGATAATATGTAAGTTTAAAAAAATGCTTATGATCATAGAAAATATTTTTCTATTAAAGTATATAATAAAAATAAAAAAAATAAATCATAAATAAAATTAGTCTTTTTATGTTTCTGGTTCGAATTATAACTGAAATTATATTGGTAAATACAGATCAAAGTAGGTATTTTATCTGAATAAATAAATAATTTAATTTGACTTGAAATGAATTTAGAACCAATATTTTTAACTTCATGAAAATATAATTATCTTATTTTAACAAAACATTAAATGATAATATTGATAATATATGAAAATATAAGCTTGGTTTTGAAATTAAGCACTCGAATTTTTAATTAGTTTCAAAGGATCAAAAACACTTTAAATAAAACGAATATTTCATACTATTTAAATTTTAATATTTAAAATAGTCAGTGAGGGCATTTAATTTTATACTACAATCAATATATTTTTGAAGTATCCAACATTTCTTAAAATAAAAGGATAATAATTATTTTACCAGAGGGATTGAAAATAATACTTACTAGTATAAAATAAGGCATTTTCATTCTCAAAGAATATAAATAATAAATATAATATAGATATATATGTAATGTAAAATAAAATTATCTGGTCAGCGATTTCTGTGTTGTTCAATAATTGTTACATTTCATATTTTTTTAGTGCATAATGGAGGTATACTCTTATTATTATTTTAAATTTATACACAACAATTATCTTATTTCGTAATGACTTTGAATTTAATTCAGATTATATTTTAAAAACAATTTAGCAGTAGATATGCATAGATTTTTTCAAAGTACCGACTTAAGTAGTATAAAGCTTTTATATAATGTTTCTCAATAAAATATAAGGAAAAGTATAATTTGTATAATTTTTCTAGTATTGATACTTAAATATATTAAAACCATTAGTATAATTTGTTTTATTTTAATTTTATAATATAAGAAGTATTTTAATTAAAAAAAAAAATAAAAAAATAAAAAATAAAAACTGTGTTGAACTTTGAAATAAATAAATAATTTTAGTATAATATTAAATTTCATTAATAATCAACTTATAATCAATATAACTAATTAACTATATTATTATTATGACTCAAAATAAATATATTTTACATAATACTTTCTTTGATTTTATTTTATTTATTTAATACTAAACGGCATCAAAGATACATAATAATTAGTTGAATTTAATTGAATACAAGGAATGATAGTGATAGGAGATTTTACAGCAGAAATTCTGGATCCTGATCAGTGTTGTACATAGATAACCAAAATATGATCTTGGTAAGATAACGGATAATTAATCTTAAGTTCATAGAGATAAGATAACAGATAACTATTTAAATATTCATGAAACTACATTTATCTAGATAAAAACAGATAATTTTAAAAAGTTTCATACTTCAAAAGTTACTTTTTTTAAATGGTTATTTTTCTATAAATAAAAAATATATTATTAATTATGATTTATTTGGTTTAAAATAATCTTCTTTATTTAGTTAATTTAGACACAAAATAAGTGCGTACATTATTTATTTATTCTAATTTTATATTAATAGTTATTAATCAATTTATAACTCTAGTATTAAAATTCAAAAAAAAAAAAAAAGTAATCAACATTTTACAATTTAAACAATTAATAATAAAAAATGTAACTATTTTTATTAGTTTATTACTAAGCGAATATAATATAAATATATATCAATGTAATTTGATAGAAGTATACATAATACATAATATAGATGTGTATAATGCGACCTTGTTATTTTGTAATATTCTAATTTAATTTAATGGTCATCACTTTTTCTTTTAATTACATGCAGTTAAATAAAATTTATACAAAACTACTAAAGTATATAATATATATAGTCATGGTCACTAGAAGTCAGTGGTTGGTTTTATTATTATTTATTACTTTAATAGTTATAATCCCAGCTTACACCTACTTATTTATGGAACGTGTTAGCTAGAGATTAACGTTTTATAACTGTATGTGTTTAATTATTATTGTCTATATTATATTGTTTTATTGATCTACAATATTAGGTATAATTTTATCTCCCGGGTGTTAGCATTGGGTTGGTAGGTACCACCTAGTCGTCGATTAAAGAGAAAAAAAAGTACATTATTATAAAATTGAATATTATTTGAAATTATGTTTTCTGTAAAAATAATTATATACATTATTTTTTTATATTTTTACAAAATATCTTATTTTTATATTGATTCTTATATAAATAATAAAAAACATTTCAGCCCCCCCCCCTCACTTTAAAATTTCCGGGTATGCTTCTGTTATCGATACATGCATAATAAAGTTTTTATAATTTAAATTTTACAGATATATATTTTTGGGAATTATATACACATTTACTTGTTATTTGAATAACACATTAAGAGTGTTACACTAATAAGCACAAATTACCAATTAGTTGGACAAGTGAATGCTTGTTATAGTTTCATATTCGCCTTGGCATTTTTTGGGGGAGTATTATTATTTTTTATGGACGCAGAATAAATTTCATTATGTTTTTTCATTTTAATGATTGCATTTATACATTAAAGAAAATACTTTGTTCCCATGATGAGGTCTCCAAAGTGCGAATATGTTCATCGGGTGGTATCGAAATAATATCAAGGGTTATTGAACACGTATTCATTCTTCAAAATGAATATATGCCATTTAGTTTACTACTATAAAGAAGATGAACGTATTATTTTCTTTGCAAAGCAATCAATAGCGTGAAAAGGAGAAGAGAAAACAAGTGAACCGCCGTCTATCCTGCTGAGTACGAAATAACTTTTTCGAAAAATATTTGAATTATGATTTAGCTTCCGGGGAAAAAAATTCCTTATCGATACTTTTCAGTAACCAATGATTTACAGTTTATGTGATTACATCAGCTATTTACATGCAGTAAGTTCCTTTAAAGCACTGATTTTAGGTTATGAATTGTAAAATCCTTTTTTTCATATGTTTTTCATAATATTCTTATTGCACTGTATGCTTATTGATACATCTTAAAAGTTATTATTCTTAATTGTTTTTTAAGAGAATATAAATATTTTATTTTGAAAAAATATATATTTCCGTAGAAAATTGATTGATAATTTTGAAATTTTATTTAATCAGCAACAAGGCAAATAAAATGAGGCTGTTATTCATTATTCAATATTTTAAATTTTATTTTTAACTATGCAATATATTATAGTACTAAAGTATACATTTATGAAAATAACAAATTTTACATAAATTAAAAGACAAATTTAAATTAAAAATAATAGAAACACTTAGAATTTAATTGTATAATATATTACTTAGTATTATTTTGTAAACTACTTTATGTAATTATTTTAATTTACACATTTGTTATAATAATGATAATTTATTGTATAATTTAAATGATATACCACTAATTTAATTATAATATATTTATTGAATTAACTAGCTGAACCGACATACGTTGTTTTGTCTTATAAATTATTTCAAG